ATGTGGATAAGACATCGCTTCACAATGCAGATGTACTCGGTTCGATTCCCGGCTATGCCTTTCTACCTTGTGTTTTTTAAATCATTTTTTCTTCATTTTGATTTGTTCTTCTCTTTTTTTTTGTTCAGGGGACACCCCCTTTTCTCGTATTTCGATTGTGACGCTGCTCATATTCACATCTAAATTCATACCTGAATTTATTCATGATGTGATTCAGAATTGTATATAAAATTCTTGCTATGTATAAGTCATATAACTATCTTGTCATGTTTTGTGCTGAAAGCCAGAGAACCGTACCTGCTCACATACTTTTTCTTATAGAGTCTTGACGCCCTTCTGGCTTTCAGCACACGACACCATGTTTTTTTCTTATGTTTTATGTATTACATGTTATACCAATGGAAAACTAATTTCTACGGAGCCCGGGAAGGGACATGGTAAAAATATTTTTATCTCGTTAAAACGAGATAGTTATCTCGTTTTAATGAGATAGTATCTCGTTAAAACGACATAGTATCTCGTTTTAATGAGATAGTATCTCGTTAAAACGACATAGTATCTCGTTAAAACGAGATAGTTATCTCGTTTTAATGAGATAGTATCTCGTTAAAACGACATAGTATCTCGTTTTAATGAGATAGTTATCTCGTTTTAATGAGATAGTATCTCGTATAAGTCTATTGCATACTGGAACCGGGTGGTCCCTGTATTAACCCAGATAACAATACGACGTTACGCCAACGTGGGGCCAACGTAAGCTGTTACGTTGGTCCAACGTCGCCAACATGATGTTGGGCCCACGGCTTTCTTGCCGGCGGGCCAACGTTGGCCCGACAGTGACAAAATGACATTAAGCCAACATCGGGCCAACGTTGTGCCGACCCCTATCCGACCATATGTGCCGATGTCCTCCCGACATTGAACCAACGTTATGCCAACCTCTTTTCCACCGTATGCCGACGTCTTTCCGACATTGGACCAACGTCGTCCCAACCCTTTTTTAACCATGTGCCGACGTACGACCAACGTTATGCCAATCCCTATCCCACCATGTGCCGACGTTGTTCCGACATTGGATAAACGTTATGCCAACCCTTATCCTACCATGTGCCGACGTCTCCTCGACATTGGCCCAACGTTATACCAACCCCTTTTCAACCATGTGCCGACGTCTCCACGACGTAGGACCAACGTTATTCCAACCCCTATCCCACCATGTGCCGACGTAGTTCCGACATTGGACCAACGTTATGCCAACCCCTATCCCACCACGTGCCGACGTCGTGGGCTGTTACGTTGCGCCATCGTCGCCAATGTGATGTTGGGCCAACGGCTTTCTTGCCGGCGGGCCAACGTTGGCTCGACAACGACGAAATGACATTAAGCCAACATCGGGCCAACGTCCCCCGACGTATGACCAACGTCATGTCAACCCCTATCCCACCATATGCCGACATAGGACAAACGTAATGCCAACCCCTTTTCCACCATGTGCCGACGTCTCCCTGACGTAGGACCAACGTAATGCCAACCCCTTTTACACTATGTGCCGACGTCTCCCCGACGTTGTCCTAACATAATGCCAACCCTTTTCCCACCAAGTGCCGACCCCTCCTCCACCATGTGCCAATGCTAGACCAACGTTATGCCAACCTCTTCTCCACCATTTGCCGACGTAGAAGCAACGTTATGCCAACCCGTATCCCACCATGTGCCGACGTTGTACCTCCCCTTTCCAGTTCATGCCAACATCCTTCTGACATTACCAACACCAACTCAAAAACATATTCACACCAACATCAGTCGTCCGTTCATAAGAACATCGTCAAGATCATACTACATCGGACATGTACAATCATTCAAACACATGCATCACAACGTGACAAGAAAAAGCCAAGTAGTTAAAGATTGGATTAAATAAATAAACAGAGCAAAATCCACAAAATGAAGATAGTAACAATTTCATCAAAATTAGACTGAATTTGAGAAAAGTTCATTATAGAACTCGACTTAGATCCCTCTGGAAGATATGTATAATAACAATATTGAAGCAAGAGGGACATGTTATTTTAATTTCGTCATGTCTATTATCTTGTACATTTTAATCACTATCAAAACTTGATAACAACTTATTTGTCCCATTTTAATGAAAAGTTCACCATCTTGCTTCTTAGAATTTGCTCTGAATACATCCCCCTCCCTCCAAAACAAAAGAACAAGGAAAATAAACTGATTTTGTGATAAAACATACTTTATTTTATGTGTAATAAACAAACTGTTGTAAATGTGAATACAATTATTGTACATCTTTCTTTTGTATTTTCGTGAATTCGAAAAAGATGTAAACGTAGTTTCAAGTTCAAGGTATCTCAATGTGTCACAATATAGGCCTACTATCAATGAATGCTAGGACGATAGGAGCTGTTATAAAAATGAATTGTCGCTTACACGTAACACAACATAACATACTGAAATTCATTGTACGAATATAATAAACAATCCTCACAATTTCCCGAGTAAAACAAAAAAAAACTTTCTGGCAGACGAACACGATTGCTTATGACAAGATTCCTCTACATACATGTATGTACAGCACAAAAATATAAAGAAATTAATAAAGTGTCCACCATTTGCATGCCAAGAACTAGGCAATTAATGTAAACAATGTTCCATAAAAAATTAAAAAAATAAAATTCAGAGAAATTGCCAACATTTTGTCGCCATATCTATTGTTAACACATCTACAAACTTTTTTTTTAGGAGGGATAGTATACATTGCTTGAATGTGTGAAGTAAAGCAATCGCTAAATGTTTATATAACAAGAGAGGAAATTTGAAAGTGAAGTAAGAAAGAGCAGAGCTTGTAAAGGGAAAAACACAAGTTTCTTCACTCTGATATACCACTTTCAATATTTCTTTAAATTGAGAAGAAGGTAGTACGAAAAACATTCAGTCACTTAGATATATGAAACATTTTTTTCTTACCTTTGAAATTCTTTATAGCATGCATTTAGTTGACACGTTATACAGGCATTCAAATCAATTACGATCTTCTTCGACTCATGGTATAGCTCTCTTTTTAAAATTGGGCCATTAGTGAAATTTCACCACAATAAATAACAAGTAAAGATGCATAACACACTATTTAATAACAAAAGTAATTGTTTATGTTTGTGTACAAAACATAATGCCTGCAGAGCTGGCTAGCAAGCACCGTAGCTTGCCTAAGCGGAGATCGTTCTTGATATAACATCACTAATCCTTTGGTCAATCATTCCGAGGAACTCTGAGAATTTTAAGGGCGGGGTCCACCATTAGACGAGCAACTTGGAGAGGTTTTCAAAAAATTGTAAAAAATATAAGGAGGCATTTATTTATGAAACAATTGTTATTATGTTGCTTTAAAAGGGTCTTGATACAAGACATAAAAGTTTTAATTTCCTAAGGCAATGGACCTTTAAAGAATGGGTTAGTCGGAATCAAAATCTTGTCTAGCTTGTGGTAGTACAACTTCGACATCTGTGGCAAAAAAAAAAGAAGAAAGAAACCAAACAAGATTTAAAAGCAGATCATGGAAACATCACCTTGAAATAGTATGGATATTCATCAAATAGTACGGCATTCAAGGGAAGTAGTCTTGAGTGGCACATCCTCCCTAGTTTTGATGAAATTTCATGAAAATAACTTCGTTCAAACTTTAGAGCGAATGACCCAGACGTATGGAAATTAGAAAGGAATGGATTTCTTTTATTTTTGTCTTGTTTAATTAGAATAGCATCAAACACTCTTCTTAACAAAGGAAATATTCATTTGAGGTAAAATGGCAGTAATATTCTTCAACAGAAAGAACCAATTTATAGTATCTGTTTGCTCAGTGTTGAGATGCTTGATTGATAACAGTTTAACGCCCCTCTTAAGTGTTGGATCCCAAAATTAGCCAAAGAATAGAAATATATATGACTGGAAAGCCAATACAAAACTAGACAACTTTGCTGGACACAATTTTTCTTCATAACGATTGCAGAAAAAGTTACAGCCCTTTGAATTAGGAGTGTCTGGCAGAATGCGGCAAAATTGTCACTCCCTAAAATCATGGGGCACACAGGGATTTCATGGTTGGTCGCACAAAGAGTTACAAATGTGGAAGATGTAAACATGGCCATGAGGACGGAAAAAGCTGCAGAGGATCCAAGAAAAATCATTCAGGAGTGCATGGAGGCATGGCAGAGAAAGATGGGACATTGTGTAAGACTCCAGTGGGATTGCTTCGAAAGGGAAAACTCAAAGTCTGTAATTTGGGTATATATTTCTTTTGTGATATCAGTCCTGGAACTTTTCTGACACACCTCGTATATCTGTTCCACTTACTTGGCATCTGTGGATAGCATCCTTGAAGAAAATGCCTAAGAGCAGGTTGGTGAGTTGAAGGTTAATTCTTCTCAAATGCTGCCTCAATGTTGCCAAGGAAAATGCTGAAAATGAAAAAAGGAGGGAACAGTGACGACTAATGATGCATTTTTTTTTTTTGGGGGGGGGGGGGGCTTAGGTAGTGACTAACAATTACCTACATTTCTTGAAATATAATAAAATGTTTAGTCTTTCTGTTTTTTGAAGAGGTACATGTATGAACTTACTATAATATGCAACTTGTGAATAATTTACCTGTTGCTGATTCTCACTTGCAGAGAGTTTGAATTAAGTTACATTGAGCTCCTATCCTCATGGATGATTCCTATAGTCATACATATATCGGTTACAATCTGAAAATGCATTTTTTTTTTTTAAATACATGAAACATTTCATTATTTACTTCAATCGCATTATGGTTAATGTCACCACTCCAAGCACTGCCATTTATTTCATCATTGGCATTGAATTGCCAGTGACAGCTTACCATTTCCATAGTCTAGTGCCATAGACTTTGTACATGGTGAAGGTATACACATGGAATGAGAGGTGAATCGAACCACACTTTAGCCCCTTTCTTTTATCTTTAGAACAATCTTAAGACATTTATTGAGTTACATGCATGATTAAAAATTGTACATCCATGGGTAGAATTTTGAATGATTCCTGCCAAGTTTGGTTACATGTGATCATGCATTTTGACCAAAAAAATTGATAAATCTGTTCCCTTTTCCATTTAGCCCCCACCCCTGATCCTAATGAACCCACCCCTGATGAAGGTGACAATAGCTAATCTTGAGCCTTCTGTTCATTGAGCTTCAAATCAATCCCAGAAAGTCATACCTGAATGAGATTAGCTGGGTGGTCAATGCTGTGCTGGAGGCTAGGGTGTGTATGCATGGGTCACAGCTGCAGAAAACACCCTACAAAAATTGTGCCTAAAAAGAGAATTTAAGAAAAAGTCAGTAAGTGACCTGTGCAATTAATACCCATATCAGGGCTGCACAAGAATTAGGTCATAAGTTTCAAGAATAAGATTATGTGCCAACTAATGCCCAGAAAATTGGATTGTTTAGGTCTATCCTAAAGGTACGCTACAGCTCTAAGAGTCTATCAGTTCAGTACGTACCATCTACAGGTCCTTTGGATTCAAAATTACTGAGTCTGTACTCTAATAAGTAATCAATAGTCTGTCCATCATCAAAGGTGTTCAAGTCTAAGATTGAGAAGAGCCACCTACGATTCAACTATCTATTCTTTGCGCCCTCTCTCATCTGCTGCAATCATATACCAACTGGTCCAGCATCGTATACATCCAGATCCAGAAATCGTTACAAGTGTTTTCAAAACTTTTTCCTAGAACTTACATTCCATTACCCCTCATCTTGCTGCCTATTCTTCTATCTAATTTAATTTCTTATTTCAATTCAGTTTCTTTTTTTAACACTTACACTGAATAGGATTATAAGAGGAATTATCTTACTTGGAAACTCTGGATAAAACCCTTGTCCTTGTCCTTCAATTGGTGAGCTGAGCCTGAGGGATATTTCTTCTCAAATGCTGCCTCAGTGTTGCCGAAGAACACGCTGAAGACAGAAAACAAAGAAGCAGTGATGATTAGTGAGGCAATTTTTTTGTTACCAAAATCATTAGCTATTCTTTTTTGGAAGATGGGAGATGAGTATGTGGTCCATGCATGGATGGACCATATACATACATGTATGATATAGGGTCTAGAGTCTACTCCCAACTAACTTATATAGATGTAGATCCTACACATGTATTAACACTTATGTATGACATTAGTTTAAGTTTGTCGATGTTTTAGCCAGGCATTAAGTTACTGAAGAAATACAATGAATACAAAATTAAAATATTGAAAACACAATCAATAATAATAATAATCCGCTTTTTTATAGTGCTTAAGAGTAAGACATTAATAATGTATCTAAGCAGTTTACAGATTATTATTACCCCGTCCCCGGTCATCGGATTCAATCAGGATTGCCCGCACACAATGTATGCACATTCTCCACTCCCTGGGGGAGTATTCCAGCCATGCATGCAGTCTAGGTCTAGTCCTTATTTATAATATTTCAAAACTTATTGATTTTCTACACTCGTAGTTACTAGTACAATAAACCACCCCTGCAGGCATGGGGCTCACTACGTTAGCCCCATGGTGTATACCTATCTTAAACGCACAGGCAACAGTGTTTTTCCCCCCAAAGAACTGGTTAAATAAACTTTTCATGCACACTGGTTTTTGTTTATTAATCTTACTTTGCATTTGTCAAGTAACTATTTCAGCAACATTTAAACATTAAAATATTGTAAATTTACTGAGAAAAAAAAAATAAAAAAATAATTTTATCAAATAGCTCAACATGTTAGCAATGAAAGTTAATATGAAGACAGTAAATTTATTAAATAAATAAATCCTCTATTTTTAGTGCTTCAACATACTCAACAGTGTTGCACTGATGTTTTTTTATTAGCCTCTAGATACGTAAATGTAAACATTTTGACAAAATCCCAGTTACTGTTAATGTTATTACATGGCTAGAAGTGTAAGGACTAAGGGTGACAATAAACCTACTAGTAAACTGGTACCTAGCAAATAATTTGAACAACATAGTCATAGAATCTATACTGTGGCGGAATCAAGGGGGGGGGGGGGAATCGGCCATGACCCTCCCCTTCTCCTTTTTGTTTGCTTGTCAAGGAATATTTTGGGTAGATCTAGATCTAGACTAGATCTAAACAGACACTTGAAAAAGCTAAGGATCATTTTTTCCACTTTTTTTCGCTGGTCAGCGAATTTTTCTGGTGCCTGATGAGGCCCTGAGGCTGAGCAGACTTCGGCCTAGACAGGAATAACCATCTTTCTGGGGGCATTCTTTTGACAAAATGACAGAGCTCAGAGGCATTTAGAGAAGCCAGATATGCAATCTCAGCGGATCCAACCGTCAACGCCAAATAGAGGCTGATATTTCGGTCCAACTTCGGCCCTCCCTTTTGAAAAATCCTGGATCCGCCGCGTCGCTGAAATAGATCTAGATCTATACTAAGACTAAGTTGCGGTGTATTGCATATTGCATAGTTGAATCTAGATCTAGACTCTACACACTAGACATCAATAGCCGTGGAATATGACTCTGAGGTTTTTTTTTTTTTTACAATTCTGACATTTGCTTGCTTTTTCCTCGTATATCTAGACTAGATACATACGAAAATTCCACACTTCTACTGCAATGCGAGCACGTAAAAAAGTAACGTCTAGATCTAGTTTACTTTGTCTCTAGCTTGCAAAATGACCACAGCCTTCCCAGCAGGCCAAGCCCAAGGCCAGGGTCCCAGACCCAGACCGCGGAGAGCCTGAAGCGTCGGGCCCCAGAACAGGGCGCTTCCGATGGGGACTGCAGTCTGCTAATTGAGCAGTCTTAAAATTAACGTTACACAGATCTAGAACTGATCGCGAAAAAGAGCAAATCTGTTAAATTAGCTGTTTGTTCACTTTTACATTGAATGACCCGGCCATAAATAAGTAAAAGAAGTGAACTAACCTTCAATCCTCGCGATTGCAACCGGCAACTTCTGGTTGAATTCAGTCGATCTACCGTAGACGTAACTTAGTAGTACATACGTACAAGGCCTGGCATGGCATGGCCGCCTGGCTATATTATACAAATAACGCACGGCCCAGAGTGCAATAGCGGTGAATGCAGTACGCGCGAGGTTTCTTTAGATTGGTGCCGCTCTGCAACGAGCCGCTTGCGGCGAGTTGACAGTGCGAACCATCTGAAGAAACCGAGCATTTACTGCATTTACGTTTTGCACAACAGGGTCAAGTGCGTTATTTGTTTTATAAAATAGCGACACAAATAGCAACAAACGAAACTTTAGATCTAATAAGTTAGAGTCTACGAGAGTTCCATCTAGATCTAGATCTAGAGTTATGTTGGTTCTACTTCTAGACTAAGACCTTGCAGGCTTACCAAAAAGTCAATGGGATTCATTGCCTTGATTAAAAATAAAATCCATACAGTGGGTCTAGAGACGAGTCTACATCAGACAGCTGAAATTCCTGGCTTCATTATAAAATCCAAAAGTCAAAACAGGCCTAAATCCAAGGCAAAAGTAAAATAAAAATTTGCTTTTTAATAATACCCCGCTGGCGCTGGCCGCTCTGATATCTAGCTAGTTAGCTAGAGCTAAGCTACGCGTACGTTGCGCTGGGGATCATGGTGGAGCGTACAATATTAGCTACGCGTAGCCTACAATAATTGCAATGCAACTCGAGGGAGCGCGTACTACACGTACGCGCGCGCACTGGATCTCCATGGTCACGCGTACGCACCGTGCAATATAACTTTTTACTGCGCTTTTTCTGCACTCATTTCTGCAAAATCGTGCTTGCATCAAAAAATTTTCAATGTCATGTGACGCGTATTGACCAATCACGATGCTTAAAATACTAGAGCCATTTTATAAACGCTATTACTGCATTAAGCAGCGAGCGCGCTAGCGCCATGCCAGCGCGCGCAGTCTAGTCTAGCCTCGCGGGTATTATGTTGTTAACCCGTGGACTACTGAATTCTCTCACTCCCATAGGCTTAATACAGGGACCACCCGGTTCCAGTATGCAATGGACTTATACGAGATACTATCTCATTAAAACGAGATAACTATCTCATTAAAACGAGATACTATGTCGTTTTAACGAGATACTATCTCATTAAAACGAGATAACTATCTCGTTTTAACGAGATACTATGTCGTTTTAACGAGATACTATCTCATTAAAACGAGATACTATGTCGTTTTAACGAGATACTATCTCATTAAAACGAGATAACTATCTCGTTTTAACGAGATAAAAATATTTTTACCATGTCCCTTCCCGGGCTCCGTAAATTTCTGTATTATATTATGGACAATAAAATCTTGAATCTTGAATCTTGAATCTAAAATTATTTTATCAGCATATTTTTTAAAGTCATTAAAATCAGAAAGTGTTAACATCTTGAACCGAACAAGTTAATAACAGTGAAGCACTGTGGTTAATATGTGAATAAGACATCGCTTCACAATGCAGATGTACTCGGTTCGATTCCCGGCTATGCCTTTCTACCTTGTGTTTTTTAAATAATTTTTTCTTCATTTTGATTTGTTCTTCTCTTATTATTTGTTCAGGGGACACCCCCTTTTCCTTAACAAAGAAGTAAAATTAGATTATTAGCATATTTTTTAAAGTCATTAACATCAGAGAGTGTTAAGATCTTGAACTGAACAAATTAATAAGAGTGAAGCACAGTGGTCAAGTAGATAAGACATCGCTTCACAATGCAGATGTAATCGGTTCGATTCCCGCCTATGCCTTTTTACCTTGTGTTTTTTTAATCATTTTTCATTCATATTGATTTGTCCTTCTCTTTTTTTTGTTAAGGGGACACCCCCATTTCCTTAACACAGGAGTAAAATAAGTTGATCAGCATATTTTTTAAAGTCATTAACATCAGAAAGTGTTAACATCTTGAACCGAACAAGTTAATAACAGTGAAGCACTGTGGTTATGTGGATAAGACATCGCTTCACAATGCAGATGTACTCGGTTCGATTCCCGGCTATGCCTTTCTACCTTTTTTAAAAAAAAATCATTTTTCATTCATTTTGATTTGTTCTTCTCTTTTTTTTTGTTCTGGGGACACCCCCTTTTCCATAATAATGGAGTAAAATTAGTTTATCAGCATAGTTTGTTAAAGTCATTAGCATCAGAAAGTGTTAACATCTTGAACTGAACAAGTTAATAACAGTGAAGCACAGTGGTCATGTGGATAAGACATCGCTTCACAATGCAGATGTACTCGGTTCGATTCCCGGCTATGCCTTTCTACCTTGTGTTTTTTAAATCATTTTTTCTTCATTTTGATTTGTTCTTCTCTTTTTTTTTGTTCAGGGGACACCCCCTTTTCTCGTATTTCGATTGTGACGCTGCTCATATTCACATCTAAATTCATACCTGAATTTATTCATGATGTGATTCAGAATTGTATATAAAATTCTTGCTATGTATAAGTCATATAACTATCTTGTCATGTTTTGTGCTGAAAGCCAGAGAACCGTACCTGCTCACATACTTTTTCTTATAGAGTCTTGACGCCCTTCTGGCTTTCAGCACACGACACCATGTTTTTTTCTTATGTTTTATGTATTACATGTTATACCAATGGAAAACTAATTTCTGTATTATATTATGGACAATAAAATCTTGAATCTTGAATCTTGAATCTAAAATTATTTTATCAGCATATTTTTTAAAGTCATTAAAATCAGAAAGTGTTAACATCTTGAACCGAACAAGTTAATAACAGTGAAGCACTGTGGTTAATATGTGAATAAGACATCGCTTCACAATGCAGATGTACTCGGTTCGATTCCCGGCTATGCCTTTCTACCTTGTGTTTTTTAAATAATTTTTTCTTCATTTTGATTTGTT